GTTTCGTACTTTCGGGCAGTTAGACCTGTCACGAGCGTCTTCCGCTCTACATAATCTACGTATTATGTCGATCATCTATACTTGATGCTCCCAGGGTATCTCCCACCAACGTCGATCGTCTGATGTCTACCGGCCACCATATAGGAAGGTTATCAACCCCATCTATAAAAGAGAATCGGCCTCCCATCCGTAGCCTCCCACTTACGTACGTACCTACATTATCTTGCATAGTAAGGCTGTCTATGAAAGGGTCGTTACAATAAGCTTTTCGTACGATCCGTCCACTCGCTACCCTCCCAAAATTTTCCTAGATTAATATTCAAAATGGCACCTCTTCGTGTGCTCGCGCTGCCCGCCATGGCGGCTCTTGCCGTGGCCCTCAACGTCACCGATTATGTCCCGGCTTGCGGACCGCCCTGCATTTACACCTCGGTGGACGAGAACACGACCTGCGATCCAAGCGACAATGCTTGCATCTGTGAGTCGGTCTACACCATCAAGCGCGATGGTGAGGTGTGCCTGCGGGATGCCTGCTCGGACGGCGACTATGGTATGTTATATAATTCGAGAATCGTTTTTAACGGAACAGCAAAGAAACCGGTATTAACGGAGATACAGGTTCCGTAATGAAGGGTTTCGATGCGTTCTGTACCGCTGTCAGCGCAGGCCCAACTGGTAGCTCAACTGCTTCATCAACTAGCGCCCCTACCAGCACATCGACGTCGACGTCGGCCACCGAGCCCACGTCCTCGTCGTCAACTACCACCGCCGAGACCCCGACAACTACATCGGACAGCACCGGGTATCCTACATTGCCTTCGTCTTCGGCCTCGGAGACTACTGCCACGGACACCACTGCCACAGGCACCACTGCCACGGGCACCACGGTGACATCGACGTCGGGCGGCGACACCACCTCGGCGACGTCCCCCACGGCTCCCGGCAGCTCCACCACAGCGGAGTATTCCTCTACGGGCGGTACTCCGGGCTCGTCTGAGTCGTCTACTGTGGACACTCCGTCTTCGACTCTCGCTTCGTCTCCTTCCTCCGGCGCCACCTCGAGCGCCAGCAGTACTCCCTCGTCCACTGCTGGCCCGGTCCCCGTCCCGGCTGCCGCTACCCGTGCGGACATGCGTGTCGGCGCCGGCGTCGTGGCGTTCATTTTGGGACTTGCGTACCTCTTGTAAGCTACTGCTGCTGCCCGGCCAGTTGCGTTTGCATGGTGGATGATTTGAGAGGGACGAATCACGGGTCTTCGGTTTCTGCTTCGATGTCTCATAGTTTAATGCCCAGTAGGTAGCTAAAGTCAGTATTCGTCACCGGATTCGGTGTTGATTCGCTTGGAACTTGTAGATAGCTTTTTTTACCTTGCCCACCTCCTAGGTATACATGCGCTTAGTCGGGCATGTAAGTATATATCAACACACACGTACATATTTCGTCTAAATTGAATCGAGATAGTTTCTAGATGGCGTTGGGATTTTCAGAACCGTCAAACGCATTGGTCCATTTCTCCAAGAGGCCGCTAACTCCGAGTCGGGCGTTCTCCTGCTCAAAGTCAACGAAATCAATCATATGTAACTCGTCCTTGGCTGAGAATTAATGTCTGGAAGGTCAGGAGTTTGAATGCGAGGGGTCTCGAGCCAGCAATGCTACATCCTAGGTAAGTTTTGAGCGTTTTCCTGCTTGTGCTATGCTGACGTTGGGAGGGAAAACCATAGGGGCTCCAGGAGAGTGCGGAGAGGAATGGAAGATAGCCCACGAGAGCTTGCTTGAGTTCATTGCTAGTTCTCACTGGTTCCGTTATGATCGAGGTGTGGTAAGATTGTGCCGTTCACAGTAATCAAACCCTGCGTATTGAGTAGTATCTCATTGTAGTGTGGGCAGTTTCCAGACCCCAGAGCCGACTTCTAGAGGTCCTAGTTGTCCTGTTACGATGTCGGCTGCATTTTGTGGTAGTGTGCGTTGGAAGTGATAATGATTTTCTAACAGTGGGTAGGCAACATTGGATAACGCGGCTTTCTTTCTGGTCTCATGGGTCGAGACTAGAAATAGTACATAGAAAATCCGCATCTTTCTATTCCATCTCACAGCACGATAATTCGACCAATCACCTACATGCAATTTCAACACGACATTTAGTGGTCAATAGGTCCAAATGGCTGTCACAGAGTTGGCATGGCTAAAATGCGCCTCCGAGGCGATCACGACAGAGAGCAAGGAGGCCACAAACGGCGCGCTGAATGTCCAGGATAAATGGTGCGCTGGCAACGCCCCTACAATACCCAAGGGAAGAGAAAATCGTAGTGTCGGCTTCTTCCAGCAAGTTGAGGATCCATCCATCGCTCTCCTCACGGCGCATTGGAAATCAGTCGAGCAGCACAAGACTTGGATAGAGAGCGCCGAAAACAAGACTGTCTTTCCCGCACTCGGAGACCATTTCCAGCTCGAGAAGACGATCTTTTTTCACCTAGATGATGTCGAGCTATTCCAAGCGCCAGATGCAGATAGAGCTTTCTCTTTATTGGAGAGTCCAGTCATCAGGGTGGAAAGACTGACTATCACGGCTGATGACCGACAAGCATTTAACCAGGGCTGGAACGACGTGAAGGGCATACTAGAGAGATTCGCGAAACCACATGTGGTGAAGGGCGGCTGGCGCATTGAGAAAGAGGACCAAAGCCTGGAAGAATTTGTTTTCGCATGCGGGTGGCCAAGTGTCGATAGACATGGAGAATTCGCAACCGCCCGGGATTTCGACAAGTATGAATCGGTGTTACTGGCCATTGCCGCGACTCGAGAAGTCAAGCATTACCAGAGGATCCTATGAAACGTTAGGCAGAAAGCAATGGAGAGAAGACAGTAGTTTTTGGTCGTCGAAATTGTTTTGTGCAATTGTTATGAATTGTCTACAAGCTTTTCGTGCTCGAGAATATCAATTCGGAATTCATCCCTAGACGCCGCCTCATGAACAGACCAGTCCAACCCCAGAGCATATGCATCTCATTGTCAATTCTCGATGACCACGTCCGTAGACGCCATTCCATCCATCCTGACGCTTCCCCAATTGCGATTGGTAGTTTTTCCTTTCCTCGTACGTCTAATCAGGATTTATGCCGTGTGCTTGCCCTTCTTGTTCTTCTTGGGGACCTCCTTGATTTGCAAGTCTGCATGCCTAAATGTCAGTCCGTGTTTCTAAGAGTACTGGACACGAGGGATCGGTGCGTACTCGGGGGTAAGCTCTGCTTCAGCTTCTCGGCCTTGTCGGAGTCCTTCAGGATGAGAGTGTAGAGGTGCTTCGAGCATCGGACCTTGAACTTGGTCTGCGAAGACTTCTTGTTCTTCTTGATCCGGGCGGCTATAATATACCATTGTCAGAATCAACTTCGCGACGCACAAAATGGCGTCCCCTCCCTCGTGGATATTTTATCACGTACACTTGGCGTCATCTCGCCGGCAGATCTCGATGAACTACAGAGTTAATTGTCAGCTATAACCAGTCAGAATTTGAAATTGGAATTAACGCTGTACCTTCTTAATGTCTGCAATTTCCTGAGGCATCTTGGCTGGTGTGTTGGTGAAATCGGTGGTGTTGAGGAAAGGAAATCGTGGAATTGATTTTTCTACGTTGCGACGAAATTGTGTGGGCGAAATTCCACGGAGAAGGGTTCTAAGCGATTTGTCTCAATTGACAAGGGTTCCTCTGTTTCGATAAAAGATAAGAATGTATGGCCTGTGCACGGCCCACGTTAATACAGCGATGGATGCAATCACGTACGTAATGGCCCCCCACCTCGGTGAGTGGCGCATGACGTGGCGTTAGCTTTCTAGATATCCTATACAGCAACTACAGGTTTAGACGACTCGAAACTGGACAGAGTTTCCTGATCATGAAATATTGCATAGAAATGACTCATATTAACAATTCCATCGAACATATATAAATCCTCAATTTCCACACCTAGGCTAGGTAGGTGCATCATGCCTACTTTACTCGATAACGCTATGAAGTCCAAGGTAGCCAGCCCCCCTATAACTCCTCGTAGCTTAGCTCTCGTGGCGGCTAACTGAACGTGAGCAGAATGCTGTCCTAGGTACATCTGTCAACCGAAAACCCTCAAACTCTCAAAATACCTACTGATGGAGCTTTACTTCAAAGCCTTCTCTGGGCTCGTCACAGCTGCCCTCGCTTGGTCGATGTGGGGCGGAAACATATTTCCAGCTGATGCGGATCCAAAGGGGGACCCTCGAGAATGGACTAGAGAGGAACTGAGAAGATGGTTAGCAGCTGTAAGTATCATTGAAACCCTCACATTCTTTATTGCATTAATAGTATTGCTCACCTTACTCGTCAATTTAGCGTAACCTCCATCCTCAAGACAGAGACACTCGGGAACAACTACTGGAAAGGGTCAAAGCAAATATGAGGTAGCGTACGCCAGCATGAAGGAATGATGGCATTGCTTCTGGTGATGTAAATTCAACTTCGTGGGGTTCAAGGTATTCGTCAATCTGGGATTTCAGTTCGGGAGACAATTTGTTCCACTTTGCAGTCTTGTCGCCGAGCTTCGATACTAGTGATAGGATCGTCGAAAGAACTTCATCTTCTTCAACGTCATTCTCGGGGTTAACTTCGGGTGCCTCATCTCCAGTGTTGTCCACCGCGGGTTTCTTTCGAGTCTGGGCGAGCTTTCGTTTCGCTCGTCGTTTCTCAGCTTGGCGAATCCTTGAGACCTCCTTCTTATGATCAGATTGGGCTTCACCTCAACAATTCCCTGTCTCTCTGTCCCTGATTTTAACTTACTACCTCTCTGCAAGGTCTTTGTTTCTGCGATTTTAGTCCTGCGTCATGACATACTCGATTTTTCCCTCACGTACCTAACAGATAGCCTACCTTCCCGTCCACTCCCCCTGATCACCTAGATAGAGTTAAAGCCCAAAATAAGCGGCAGTCCATTCAACAAATAACAACTTGCCCTGCTACGTGGGGTGCGACAAGAGCCGGTCTGGCCGAGGGGTTAAGGTGGTAGTCTAATTGCCTACTCCTATCCGAGGTGACTTGGGAAGGTTCTTGTAGGTGGCTTAACGAGCTACTGGAGCAATCCGCGCAGGTTCGAATCCCGCGGCCGGCATTTTTCTTTTTGTATTTTTTTGACCAATGCCGTTTTGCGCGTACCAAAACCTTTCAATTCCATCATCTAGCCAAATAAATTGTCTGCATTGAATAAATCTGCCCATTTGCTATAAACTTCGCAGATTTGATAATAATGTAGAAAGGTGTCATGGTCTAAAGGAACTGTTGTTTTGCAAGATTCTAAAAGGAAGAAAAAGCGCGCCCCTGGCGAGCTCCGCCAGGTTTTTACCCTGGCTCCGCTTACGTAGCAAGGTTACGTAAGGGCCCGTGACAAAAGGGGTATTCTTGAACACCGATATGGAAGAGACGAAGTAGGTACCTACCTGTGAGCAATTATTAAGCTATCGTACCTAAGGCGATGTTAAGCTCTAGTTAGAGTTGCTAGCTAGTTTGAAGGGTTCGTGATAAGCAGTTGGTGGTGGCGCCGAGGTTGGATCGTTGAAGTCACCGGATAATAAGGTGTAATAAGGAGTCAAAGCGCAAACCTACAGACCTACCAGGTATATAAAGGACACAAAGCTCAGATCTCCCAATCAATATATTCTTCAATTTCCATCCATCTCCAAGAGATCGCTGTAGTAAATTTTCACAACTAGTCTCTTACCTCCGACTTCACGAAAATGACACTCGGCACCATGCCTAAGTTCGCAGGAAATGCGCTTTTGGGAAACCATGACAAAAAGGGCATTCGAAGTTTCGTCATGGCTGTTTGGGCCGGGAAGTCTGAATTTCGAGCCATCGCTTCCACAATCCCGTCCGTGATTCAGAACGTGTCACACTGGGTAGATGTTCAAGACCTCGTCGCAAGCATGTCGACTACGTCCGTGCAGAAAAGACCCTTCTCGCTGCGAGACACGATGTTATCCCTTGGATTTAGCCGCGAGCATACGCAGAAGCTCTCGCGCGGACATTCGGCAGGGATGGACGCAGTTCGCACGATTGGCGTTTTAATCGAGCTCTATTCCAAAACCACGAGTGGCCGACTGTCGCTTTTCCGTCACACTATGGACGAGCGATCGCGACGAAAGTTGTGGGAAAGCCGACCCAAACCATACGAGAGCTTCCCGTTCACGGCCCGAATTACCACGGCAGAGCACCTGCTGCCACCCAGCTTACGATACAGCCAGAACCTACTCAATCTAATATGTAAGGGTTTCAACATTATCGAGCCAACAGCCGTAGCAGTATGCCCTCCAAGCCACAAAAAGAGGCCCAAGACACATGCATGGGTGTGCTTTGCCGACCGATGCGCCACGGATCAATTCGTGAAAGAGTGGAATGGAATGCCAGTCGACGGTCAAGTTCTGCAGGTAGAGGTATTTCTGCCTATTCTTAAATGAGTCAAGGGGCTTGACTTAATGGGCCGGAAAGGACCCTCTCGTCGGTGCTTTGTATTAGTACATATTGTCAAATGCACGTTGGTTATATCCCTTTATTCAAGAGCATTGTTATTTCTAGAGTGGTTTTTTGCCAGCTGTACCAGTTGGCAAGATACTAAGCTAATTGAACAATTTAAGTAAACTTTGAGGCTCTTCCGACTCCTTTCTAATCCTCTCTCTTCCCATAATAAATCCACGATGTCTACCTCAACACCTCCTATACCCCCTGACTGCTTTTCATTCACAATGGGAGGATAGCGAGCCTGTACGGCGACCAAACAAGCGCTGGCGGTATCTCCCCCCGTAAGAGAGTGTATCGTAGTTGGGGAGGGAGAGATAGAGAGGCCGCGGACGGAACTACGTCTCTCAAAACGGACCCGACGACCTCATCTGATATTATTAAGGCAACGTTAAGAGGGAGTATATACTAAGAACGTATCAGTTTTAAATAATTTAAGTATATATACCTAGTTAATTTGTATACATATTACGAATAATTTGAATAAGGGTTCCGAATAGCTTTGAAATCTAATTGTAGATTCTTTTTACGTGGGGTATATTACTAGTTGGTAAAAAACACTCCATAAAACACTCTAGAAATAACATTGCTCTTTCGAAACATATCTATAGGCATATACCTAGGTGATTATGCAGAAGATTTTTAGACGGTATCATATTCGTAGCAGACTAAAACCACGACTCCAGTCCTTGCTGCTACAGAGATAGAAACAAAACGGGAGGACTTGTACGGCTACAGATGTTGTTGTAGGGAGAGGGAGATGGAGCCTCTCTCATCCTCAAACACGATGGGTACGCATTCGACAACTTACTTAGTTGCATGGCGGTTGTTGTAGTGGCAGTTTTAAAAATGTATCTTGCAGGTCGCTATATATGAATGGTACAGAGTGTGTGTGCACGTGTAAAGAAGATATGGAGGGATGCTTAAGTACTACCATCTCCAAGGGCGACTAGACATCTGCTTAGCTATGACCTCTCAAATATATTCTGTTTTTCTGCATGGAGTTCCCAGGAACCAACAAGCAATCCTCATAAGTCCCTCCAGGTTCTGAACCTCGTTCCTATCGACGTTGATAATGCGCGACTTTCGCACAAACAAGCAGTCCTTGTCGCCATCGACGTAGCCTTGAATAATTCTAAGATTTCTGCCCGAAGCTGACACGACAGTGACCTTGAATTGCATGAGTAAATGATAAAACAAAGAGTTTAGAATACGGGAGTTTGGGATCTGGAAACTCACGGGCGCAATCTCCTGATTACGGTCTTGTTTCGGTTTCTCATCTCGTCTCAGTTTCTCTTTTCCTATCAATTTTGCGCCACCCATTCGTAAAATACACCAAAGCTCGCTGAGTAAGAGCTTATCACCCTCAAAAGGGGCATCGTTTGCAAGGAAGCATACGATATCCGGCTTAGAATTGTCGCGGATATCTAACGCAAAATTGACCCGCCAGTGGACTTTTAATGAGTCGACATACTCATCAGTAGCCCCACTGACTTTCACGTTAGTCCATCTGAGCACCATCTTGCCGCAGTTTCTCGCAAATGCGTTCGAGAATCACTTACTGGACACGGGCAACCTTCCATGAGCCATTACGCTCTAGTAAGGTTTTGTTGGACAGATCTGGGGCGTTGACTGTCGGTGTGTCTTGTTGGTCAAACAAATTGAGATAAAAATTCCCCAGGAAACGCGCAATATGCTAATTCCCGGGACTATATTCACCAATGGGAATGTTGACTTCATCCTCGATAAGCTCGTTTGCCTCGGCGATAGCATTCATCTCATCGAGTGATTTCAGCTCAAGAACCTTGAGGGCTGCATCTTTAGGTGTTCCGCTGTCGATGTCAATCTCAGTACACGTGACCTTGAGCCAATCAAGGTCGTTCGAATCAAGATATGTGGTTGCTTTCTTGGAGGCAAGGTATTTTCTACCCTTTGTGGAGAAAATGACTGCTGCCAAATACTTAGAAGTCGGGTCTGAATTGAAGTCCTTGATTGGAGTTGGATGAGACATTATGAAAGTTGGTCCTGTCTGTAGCACGTGTAATAGACTTTGTATAAGTGTGTGGATTTTGCAAGACAAGATGAAAAGGAACTAGCTGCGTGACCCGACCTTACTTCGGCAGGGTGAGAAAAAGGGGGGCCGGCCTTTTCCCCCTTAGCCACAGATAAGTCTAAGCTTTCAAGGCTCTAATTGGCTAGCCATATCCTAACGCACGTCCCTTGGATTCTTCATAGAATTAATTAATTTCGTCCATTACCGTTTAAAAAGATGAATAATTAATATAGTTGGATACAGCTCGTTTTGTACGACCTTTCTAGGTTATCCAATTTGCATCATCCCTAGATTTGGTGCGATAGAATTGTAAAAAAGTCAACAAGTGCGGGGCCGTCGATGGCAATTATCTCTCTGTCGGAGTTGGACCTCAAGAAGGACTGGACAAATAAGGCATTAAACGAATCGAAACTGCAGCTGATCACATGAGCAAGTATATTTTCATGTAACCCGAGCACAGGTACACAGCCTGGGTTCAAGACGTCGGCGTCTGGCCTCCCAGAGGTTCTGACATTTGAGATGATTTTACTGGAAAGGGGGTACATCTCGTGGCACATTTGCCGTCTACCATCTAGCGCCAATATTTTGTATGTAAAGTGCGTGGCTGCTGCAAATCCTATTAGGAACTATGAATTTCTCGTGGTTTATAGGGGTCTAGGATTTTGTTCTTTCATGCGGGCTCTTAACCCCAGACTGTTTCCTAGAGATACCATGCTCAGCAAATTTATTTATGAAAACGTCTACTGACATGCACTTGGTCATTAATACTAACTGATTTGTATGATATGCTGGGTCTTTTCTTCACAATCCCGCCCCCTTAACATACGCACCGCTTGTCTAGATTCCATTCTATCCGTCGACCTTTATTATAATTCAATTAATTCACGATGACTAATCTACCTTCGAAACAGACCGCCGTCGTTGCTCTCGGTGACGGCAGTCTAGGCGTGAGCCATGATGTCAGCGTTCCTACTCTAGAAGATGATATGATTCTAGTGAAGAATGCCGTTGTTGCTTTAAATCCGATTGATACCAAAATGGTCGGCAAGCTGGCAACTCCGGGTGCTATCGCCGGCATGGACTTCGCCGGTGAGGTCGTGGCGGTTGGCCCGAAAGTCCGGACGGCAATACCAATCAAGCGAGGTGACCGTGTCTGTGGTGTAGTCCCGGGCATGCACTCGATTACACCTACCGTCGGAGCCTTCGCTGAATATGTCGGTGCCACGGATCTCGTGACCATGAAGATCCCCGACAATATGTCACTTGAAGAAGGTGCATCGCTCGGCAGTGGAGTTGGAACAGTTGGTCTCGCTCTGTTCAAGTCCTTGGACGTTCCTGGATCGCCAAAGTCACCAGCTACCAAACCAGTAGATGTGCTGGTATACGGCGGCAGCACTGCAACAGGCACTTTAGCGATACAACTCTTAAAACTGTAAGTCTACCATTCCCTAAGCTCTAATTGACAAGAAACAAAATACTCAGGAGGTCTCTAGGTTTGGGCTCAACCCCATAGCGACTTGCTCCCCAGGCAATTTTGAACTCGTCAA